CACACCTTGTGAGTAGCTGGGTCCACAAAGCAGTGGAATAGTCTCCGCAGATCGCGCTTATTACCGTAGAGATAGATCGTACGTTACTCCTGTTAACCCTCTGCCTCTTCGTCGTTAATTAGGTTAACCTGCACAAGTGCAGAGTCCGCAGTCCACCCTTTGCCAGTGTGTGCGTTTCATGCCGTCGCTCTGTCCCATCAGTTGGCGTATCGGCGCTCCACGTCCCAGTTTTACCAGGTGTCGACTGTCGAGCTCAGCCATTTACGCCATTTACAAGATCTTCAATGGCGGCGGTACTTCATCAATTCTTTTCGGCAATTTACCGTAAACGCATCGGAAATGCAACAAAAATCTTTACACATCCCTTGGTTACACTGGAATTTGGTGGATAGTGGATACGCAAGCGTATCTGCCGACTCCAGGTCCCCAATGCTCCATCCAAAATTGTTATTGGCCGGGCCCCGTCCAGGATTAAAGTAAAAACAAACGTTGTAGCTAGGACCGACGTCAAACCTCCAGAAGACCTCTGTGTCCTTCCCCAGAGCCGGGTCTCCGTCTACGCACGTTGTGTCCACCAGTAAAAGTAAAAGTGCTCCCGGTTGTGTAACGTCCTCTCCTGCCCTCGCGGCCTCGGGCCTAATGGCACATCCTCGTAAAATATGTGGACTGGAAACGATCTAGGTCGCGCCACATTCCACACGCGCTGAGCTCCGATGGAGCCGCTCTGACGGCGGGTCGCGGGCGCGGCTCTGTTGGTATTTGTGAGCCTTAATTAAATGTTGTAAGAACTGGTGCGCTTAAAGTCTCCGCATGCCAAGCTAATTCTCAGGCAATTTAGGAGGCGTATTTCAGGCATCAGTAGCGGGCTATCTCGTAGCAATTTTTAGGACCCTGCGGCCTGCGAATGAGTTTTGCGTCATGAACGTAGGTTCTAAAAAGCACTAGTGGTTAAAGTGGACAATTCGAAAAAGGTTATAGTGAATATTGCAATGAAGCGATGGCACCTATGATTTGTTGATTTATTGGTTTCATCTGCTAAATTTGTTGGATTTTCAAAGAAAACATTGACTTCAGCAACAGCTCTGAGAGAAAATCATAAGACTTACAGTAAAGAATATCGGTCACAAACAAAGGGTGGGAGAAGCGAAGCGGTGCGGGTCGGTGTTGAGTAACTTCAGCGGTGACCTTGGCCTTGCCTCAGCTTTTGCACGTCCCTGAGCTGTTATACCACTTGTTTTAGATATATTGGACAGGTATGTAGTAAAGAGCAAGTAACATACGAATATATTCAATTTTTGTTTTTGTTTTGTTGGGTTAGGCCCTTTCGGTCGACAAGACCATTGCAGAGCCGGAAGGATGATAGGAATTAGGGGGAGACATTGGTCTGGGCAGGCACCCTAGTGAGTCGCCGGGGCTGAGCCCGTCCAGAGGACAGGCCACCCAGCCCCAAGGCACTCACTGCACCCGGCTACGGGGTGCGCTCCCTCAGGAGCAGCGGCGCCGCTCCAAGGGAGCAGCCCGCATGAGATAAAGTTGCCTGTCCAGCCCGGAGGGGGGTTGCGGCTTGGAGGAGAAGGATTTCAGTATCCTGAGGATAGAAGCACGGATAGGTGTGTATATATTCAAGAAGCAATTACACATAAATAAGCGGTCCGGTTTCCTCTATCCAAGACTTCTGAAAAAGCGCTGAAGAAGTCTTGGATAGACGAAACCGGTCCGCTTATTTATATGTAATTGCTTCTTGAATATATTCGTATGCTACTTGCTCTTTACTAGGGGAAGTTGGGGCAATGCCGGAGTTGGGGCAAAGCCGAAATTCGAGATATTTCGAAAACCGTAAGACATGGATGCCACCTGTCAGTGATGCTCTGAAGCTTAAGTGACTACAATTATCGCATGTTTGTTACGAGTCGTCATTCGGAATACTTCGACTGTGAGGGCGCCAAGAGCGTTTTCAAGGTACGTTTCCCTTGTACTACATGCGCCTTTGAAGCTGCATTTTTTACTCATTATGCTACCGTTTGTCTGGCCAATTCGGTCAAGTAATCTTTAGCATGTCTTTGCATAAGTGTGCTGCCTATTTGAAATTTATACAGCACGTTGAAAAGTTATGGGCCTGCAAATGAAAGTATGGCTGGCTGGGGTAATGCCGAAAACGTGCGATTACGCACGTGTTAAAAGCACGCTACGTGGACTTTACTGCTGTAGAATAGCAACGCGTATTTTTAGTCACACAAGTTACACTTTCAACCGACACAACGGCCTGTTACCTATAAGGAATGATTTACCTGGCATTTTCTTATTATATCACACAATTATAACTTCCAGTGTGCACCGCGTCCTCAAGCTCTTGAAACGTGTGTCAGCTTTGATGAATTCTGGATAAAGTTTGAGATAAAATGGCAAAACATCAATGTCGGCATTCCTCGTAGATCATTTCTCCCATTTTCGGCTTTCCCCGCAGTCCGGGGCAACGCCGAAAAAGTCACTTCTTTGATATTTTTAGTTTGTGCGCTTAACGGTATGCGAATTCATCAAATGCGCCTGGTATGTTTGAAAGGCAAAAGACTGGCCTCTCGAATGACGCCAACAAGAATAGCGTATGTTGTCTACCTTGTGTGCTACGGGCGTCAGAAAAAAAGTATTCGGCGTTCCCCCAACTTCCCCTACATACCACTTGTTTTGCGTGAAAACGTATCACAAGAAGTTTTATAGCACAAATAACGTATTAACCCTCGCCCGTATTGGTGTTTTTTTTTCCAGCCGCGAACGTATAAAGGGGGGGGGTCCGTTGGATCCCCTTGCCGTTTCGCCCCTGATCGAGCTAGAGCTTCGCGGAAAAAAAAACGAGCGTGTTGCCCGTGACGAGAGGAAGCCGATGATACCCAATTTTAACCCGCGCACCGACGGGGGGGCGGATATCCGCCCCCCTGAGGTTTTTCGCGAATAGCGGGAAAACCGCGGCGCGTAGCGCCGCGAAATTTGGTATGACTATAACCTCATCAATTTTACACATGGTGTGCAAGTTTGAACCTCCTATCTTTTAAGGTCAGGTCACCAGGTCACTTTGAATGACCCAACCTCAAGTCACTTTTTTGCAACTTTGTCACCGTGCCAGAGCTACAGTAGATGTCAGAGGCCTTTGAAAGTCGCAGGATATTATTAGGTCATTAGTAGCTACAATTTGTTTATCTCGGAATTTTGATATCGGTGACCTAAGGTCAGGTCAATTTCGCGACCTCCCCATTATAAGTCAATGGGGGAAAAATCAACTCCCTGTTTTTACCACTAAAACGGGTCGGAATGGCCCCATATACCATACATGACTTCATATACGATCAACCTTCACTACCTTGAGGTCTGTTTTGCTGTTGGGCAGCTGTGAGGCCATGTGACGTCATCAAAGGTCACCAAAGGTTTTTGGCCAATAACTCCGTACAGGAACAAGATACAGACGCGTGGATGGTCTCATTGTGTTCAGCTCGTCAAGACGCATCGAATGATATACATGATGACCTCGAGGTCACGTGACCTGAGGTCAACCTTTGACCTTGACCTTTCGAGGTCACCATATATATCATTCGATGCGGATTGACAAGAGGATCACGATGATGTCCTTAGTTTGTTCCTATCTTGACTAATTCGAAAGTTATTCGAGAAAAACTCTCCATATCTAGCGCCGCCATTTTGACTTTTTCGACCCCTGTGACGTCATCTTTGACCTGACCTGAAAATGACCTTAGTAAAAATTGTAGATCTTGGCCGTGCGTATTCGATGCCGTTTACCGCTTGTCGCTATCTTGCGTCGTTCTCGAGATCTCAGGGGGGGCGGTCATCCGCCCCCCCCCCCGTCGGTGCGAAGTTGGCGCAGACCCCCGTCGGTGCGCGGGTTAAGGTCCTAGCTTATCGGTTGACCTTCCAGGTCAGGTCAATGACCCAAAAGTCGGGAAAATCGGGACCTGTTAGAAAGTCGTAAAGCGTGGCTGCTATGGGGTTTTTCGGGGTGCTGATCACGAATATCATGTTAGTTTTGATCACAGGTGATGTCTTCATGCATTTAGGCCAGGTCGGGTCAGGTCAGGCCAGGTCAACCAGTAAGGGTATTCGTAGTAGGTGGCAACCGCCTCTGACAGCTTCGTAACATGTTACGAAGGTGCCAAAACTACTTCGTAAATGTTCATATGGTTGCTAAATTCGAATTCAGCTCCAAAAACTGGCCTAGAAACATGTAAAACTCGAAAAAGTGAACCGAGATCATCAAAGGTCAATGACCTGACCTGACCTTCCGGTGACCTTGACACCCACCCTAATGCATGGGAGCAACATCATATCCTATGTTTGAACGCTTAAAACCACGGAAAAACTGCAAACGCGCGGCTAATGCGAGCCGACATACGCCGAATCGCGATTCCGGCCAAACATGATCTTGAAAAGTAGGTCACAGGTCAAAGGTCATTAGGGTCAGGGTCATGAAAATAAATTTCAGGGTAGGTGTAAAATTGATTAGCGCGAGGGTACTGAAAGTTTCGTCGCGATCGGCCGCTTTTTACGCGAGTTATTTGCGAAAAACCGAGGGGGGGTCCGTTCGACCCCCCCCCCCCCTATACGGGCGAGGGTTAAATCAGAAATCAAAACCGTATCAAAAATAAGGTGCATGAAATAAGGCGTCTGCTCTATCCGGTGTGGCTTGTCCCTGATATACTGTTACTTGACACTGACTTTGACACTGACACTGACACCGTGTCCCCACGGCCCGACGCTGTGTTGTTGACTCCGCCTCTGACACTGACACCTGTGTCCCCAGGGCCCCGATGTTGTTTTAGTGACACTGACTCTGACTCTGACTCAATCTGACACAGTGTCCCCAGGGCCACGATGTTGTTTTAGTGACACTGACTCTGACTCCAATACCTGTGTCCCCAGAGCTCTGATGCTGTTTTAGTGACTCTGACTCTGACTCTGACTGGCTCTGACTCTGACTCTGACTCCTACACCCCCAGGGCCCCGATGCTGGATATTGAACCGCTGGACGTCGTCCACGACTCCGGAGCGCTGCTGAACCGTTCTCGTCGCACCACGGTCCTGGAGGACCTCAGCCTGGCGGTACCCAGGGGCGCCATCCTGTCGCTGGCGCCCCGCTTCGGCTGGCTGCTCTACCAGGGAGAGGACGAGGAGGAAGGTACGGATAAATAGAAGAGAGGGGTGGGGAGAAGAGGAGGAGTGTAGGAAGAGGGGAGAGGAGGTTAAAGGAGAGGATGGGTCAGGGAGGATAGGTCAGAAACGGGGGTGCAGGGTACAGGTAGATAGATCAGGGGCTGGGGAGGAGGGCAATGACATAGGCTTTTGCTGGCTGGTTGCCCAGTGGGAAGGCTAACGGCAAAATGAAGGGTGAGAGAAGGAAATGCTGTTTTAGAAGGGACGAAATGAAGCGGTAGGAGTTGACAGCGGGAGGCAGAGACTAATAAGAGTAAATAAGGACTAATCAGCGGGAGGCAGAGTAAATAAGGCTTGGTGTTTGTCGCTTCTGTCAAACGTCAGCGATATACCGAAGCATTTCTGTGTTTGTATTCCACTCTTCGACACTATCTGAAACCCCTGGAACGTGTAAATCACCGTAGACGCCATTTATCACTCTCTTGGACAAGTACAAACATAAAAAGGCAGTCGCATCTAAACACATCTGAAAGTTTGTTGTTGCCACTCTTTTCTGGCCGCACCAAACACCAGCTGCGTCAGCTTTGGAGACACGTGCCACGTTACGGAGAGACAGAGAAAGAGACAGAGGGAGATGTAGGGAGACGCGGGCTATACATCAGCCCTGCGCGCCGGCCGGGCCGTCTCCGATACAATCACGGCGCCACTTTCCACCGGCACTGCCAGCGTCACGTGGTGACCGCCGGGCGGGTGCCTGTTGCCGGGCGGGAGGAGCCAGTGCCACGCGCGGCCGCGGCCTCCCGCCGGCCCTCTGCAGAGGAGGCCCGGAGATGAATATTTATCGCCCACTGGAGGTGATGAGTCGGCAGCCGTGATGTATTGGTGTTTGGACGGAGAGAGCGCTAACTGACAGATACACGCTTCTGGGAGGTGTAGACACGGCGGAATTAGGGGCAAAGCGGGAGGAGGTGGCTATGAAATCGCACCTATTTACAGTCAGTCACATCAAAATGCAGATGACATGTTATAGGTACACACAACATCCTGTCGAGATCTGTGACACATTTCCACCGTCAGTAAAACACCATCCGTCCTAACAGAACTGGGCATTGTTCGTTGTGTTTTGACACTGTCACTGGTGTCACATCATTCTTTTAGTAACTGTAGGCATAGCTGGATCACGCGTTTTGTCTGTTGACATCCTCCTCTCCCGTTAACCCAAACAAAACTGGACCTCGAGCGTCGCGTTCTGACACTACCGCTATATGTTCCCTACGGAGGTGAACCTTTTGTGTCTCATTCTGACACCCTCCCTCCCCACCCGTTCCCTCAGAGCTGGATCTGGTGTTCGAGTCAAAGTTCCTCTACCGTTTCCCAGAGAGCTGGCACTGATGTTCTGACACTCCCCCACTCGTTCCCCACAGAGCTGGATCTGGTGTTTGAGTCAGAGTTCTACCGTTTCCCGGAGAGCTGACTCTGATGTTCTGACACCTCCCCCACCTATCCCACAGAGCTGGATCTGGTGTTTGAGTCGGAGTTCCTCTACCGTTTCCCGGAGGAGGAGGAGGAGGAGGAGCACCACGACCGCCGTCAGCTGGGCTACCACCACTCCCCCTACGACGCCCTCAACAGGGAGGTGGCCGGAGAGACCGACTTTGTGCTGCACAGCCACCGCAGCAAGCGCATGGTCCACCACCGCAACAAGAGGATGGTGCGCGACAAGAAGATGATCTACAAGGGACTCGAGAACGTCTTCTCCATGTGAGTTTGTCAGAAGCTGGATGGGGCGTCGGGAAGGCTGTACCTACTAGATGATCTGTTCGTGGACCTTGCTTGAAGATGAATGTGTTTCTTGTGGCCATTTTCATGTGGTCTTTTATTTTTTCCGCAGTGGCAATGTCATGATCCTAATCGAATTTCTTGGTTCTTAACTTGAAGGTCTTTCGGTGTCAAAAATAACTCCACAACATCTTCTCCAAACGACTTCCAGACATTTCCTCGAAACCGCTCACCGCTAATAAGCAACTGTAGGTACAGCTGTTGACCGTTTACTGACCCGCGGACTGTAACCATTGTCTGACGGTCCTTCCCTGCTCTGATTCCAGTATGGGTCTAGACGGCCGGTCCTGCCTCCTGCGCGCCATCTGTGAGGTCACTGCCACACCTCTAGTTTACGACGGAGTCGTCGGAGAGCTGCTCAACATGGCGCTGGTGTAAGTGGCTTGGCTGCGATATCTACCCGTGGGTATAATTTACTGTCCGTCCCTTCTTCAGGCGAACCAGATCTATATGGTCATCGTGATTCAACGGACATCTACATACGGTTAAGATGTGGCATTACAATGCTTTAGAGGGATGGCTTTTAAATAATTTCTTCGTGGGCTCGTACGTCCCGTCTAACTTCCGGGACATTATGTGACCTCTTCCCTCCCCCACCCAGTCACCGAGGGGAAAGTGGCGCCGTGATTTGTATCGGAGACGGCCCCGGCCGGCGCGCAGGGCTGATGTATAGCCCGCGTCTCCCTACATCTCCCTCTGTCTTTTTCTCTGTATCTCTCTCAGTAACGTAAGGAGGCGGAGTCCCTGCCTGTGGACGCAGCTCTGCATATAGAGCGGTGTTTAGTCGTGGGTAAAAGAATGGAGACAAACGTAAGGCGCTTTCAGATGTGTTCAGATGCGGCCACCTGTGTGTGTTTGGACCCCTGGGTGAAAGTGATATTTGATTTCGGGAATATCCTTTCACAGCTGATAAGTGACCAATGTTTAACTTTAGTCTAATGAGCGATTTTGGAATGAAAAATCGTGAATGACGAGATGAAAATTAGTTCCTGCCTGTATATTAATTCATCGCTCTCTAAAAGGTATCAGCATTTTACGAACGGAGATTTATCCGGTGACCCGGCAACTTCAGTGCTTATGCCTATCTAATTCAGGATTACGATACAAGCGACGCATTGTCAAAGGGTCACTGCGCGAAAGTTGTGGACTTTTGCCAGTTGAAATGTGGGTCAACATTCATGCTGAGCCTTTCAAATAAATTCACATTCTTGCACGGCTGACCGGCAGTTGTGAATTTTACTGATGGGCGAAAATCAAGTCAGCTCGGAGACTGTATTCATGTTTTCTTTAACAGGTAGCTCTCTCGGCACACCCTTGCCATTCCTCATGTCCAGGCGTCTCAAAAGCTGCATCCTTCAGTCACTGCCGGTCTGAGTCGTCCAACTCTCGTCACGTATTTGCACTTAATCTCGATATGTCGGTGGTAGTGAATGCCGCCTGTCTTGGCCAGTCTTAATATCCAGTGATCTCACTCACGATGCACCCTACACGTCTTTTACATAACTCAATACGCGGCGAACCGTAACCCGTTGGATCTCTGAATTAATTCTGACGCCCTGCTCGTGGCGCTCAGGGCAGTGACCCTTTATGTGCCCGGAACTGGGGCAGCTCTCTGCAAACTGACCAGTCACCCTTTCTGCACACTGACCTAGGAGAATGTGAAACGAGATGGACCGACCCGAAACGGGGCACTGGCTGAGCGAATTTGCATACGGACGGCGCAACAGTTACGAGTTTCGCTGGTCGTCTAACTTAATGAGAATTTGGTGTCTTTCAAACTATGTCCATTAATTCCCGTGAAAAGTCGGCTAAATTTGGGAGAACCCTAGGAATAAACCTTTTAATTTTTATTTTCCTATCAAAGCAGGTGGAGTAAGAACTACCCCAGAAAGGAACTAATCCCCTATCCTTGCCTCACTTTCTGACATGTCACCACACTGACGCTAACCTCTATGAGCTGCCCTCCCCTTGGACTGACCGAAGGCGTAGCCTCCACCTAAGACCCATGTGAAGAAGCTCTGAAATGGCCATTGACCTTGTTCCTCGAAAGACTATACCACACTAACGGCGACCTTTATTGAACTGTCCTGCCCTGCACTGAGCGATGGTCTATCTATCCCCTCCACATGCCGCGTCATATGATAACGTGACGGCGAACTAAAAAAAGAAAAAACTATTATAACGATGGCCCTTCATGAACCGCCCCTCCCTTTCCACTAACCGCTTGTCTATCTCCTCACATGTCGCGCAACACAAAAGATAGCCCTCATGAACCCTCCCCTACCCCTTCATTGACCAATGTTCTATCTCCCCTCCGCAGGCCTCGTCACACGAACGGCCACCACGACGATCTGAAGGTGTACCTGGAGGCCGAGGAGCACGGCCTGCTCGGCAACGACTGCAGCGCGACCTACAGCGCCTGTCCCGTGTCCCTGTTCACCTTGGTGGCGCCCGGATCCGTTCAGTTCGACAGCTAGGTAGTTAGGGGAGCGGTGCAATGTGAGAGCCGTCGGGATGGTCAATTCGACAGGTGATGTCGGGGTGTTCATATTCGACAGATGATGTCGGGGTGTTCATACTCGACAGGTGATGTCGAGATGGTCCAATTCAACATCTAGCTCAACAGGCATAGGGGCGACTCGATAGTTTATGTCGGATTTGCTTCATTCGAATCTAATGTCGGGATGGGGGTACAGGATCAGGTTAATATAAGGACACTGAGTGTAATGCGTATGACGTATTATTGCTCAGTGAATAATCCTGACAGAATCCACAAGGTGGATTGAACTGCGTGGGATTTTAGTTGAAGGGTTGGGGTGGGCGCGGCAGACATTGTTCTGGCAACTTTGGACAGAAAGCTGTTCACCTTCTGTTTAAATTAAATGCGTAAAGCTAATGTCGCTGTTTTGCGTTTCGGGGTTGTTGTTTGTTACACGCGTTGTTATTCAGTTTTTAAGTTGACCAGTCGTCGTTGTTAACTTGTTACCAATGCAGTTCGCAAACTTGTTATTTGTTGACTGTTTTGTTGTTACGTAGATGTTCAAATAACTGTTGACGCTCCCTTTTGAAACGATGTCATGTTGAATGACACTGCTTATCATGCAGTACAAAGAATATATTAGTCCTAGACGCAAATAAAAAATGCAACTTGATTATTGTCTTCTTCCTTCCTCAAATGTCGTCTTTCTGCAAAATGAAGTATGTATTGGAGCCACAAGTCATCCGGTCCCAATACATATAATTGACCATTAATTATATCAATTAATCCTATTGCAATCCCTTTCTTGCAAAACTTGCAATGTGAAGAAAGCTACACACAAAACGGAAATTTATTGCGAAGAAAATAGTTGGGAAAATAAACATGATCTACATATTTGTTAACCTGCGCCGGTAGAAGTATTCATTTAATTATGTAAGATTTTTCAAATGGCCGGCGCATTAATATCTTTGTCGCGCATGTGCCTGCATTATGTAGATCGAGTTTCACTATCTAGCCACTAGATGTCACTCCAATCCTTGCTACAAAAACAATTAACGAATAAAATCACCCACCTCCTAGCAGACAGCTGGCCAAACATTCTTCCTCTAATACCTGTTGCCATGACTTTGAGCCGACACTAGCCCAAACCGAAGCCACACACCGCGCCATCTCGCCGCACGGAAGCAGAATGCCCCGAGGCGCCTGGAACTGTCATGGCGGCCGCGTAGGATCGATCGTCGCTGGCGTCGGCTGGACGGCGAGGCGACTCGTCGGGGTGTGGTGAGCGGACTGTGAGAGATACGGGTGCTGCCAACAGCTCACCGTGTTATTGTGAGGAGGAGTGAGGAGTGAGAAGTGGTGAGCTCACCGACCGGTGCGTGAGCTGGTGAGAGGGAGCTCACCGGCTGCCAACACGGATAAGCCAAGGTGAGTAGGCACTAGGCAGGTGTTTTTAGGCTTCAATAGTGCATGTTAGCTATACCCGACATGGTATGATAAATTGTGTACGTGAATGTTGATATATCGGTCACAAAAATAACAACATACAAGTAGTTGTAATAAAAACAATGTTTAGGTAGCGGACCGCGTTTCAAGCTTTCGCGAGTCGCACATTCTAAAAACACTGTGTTGACGAGGGGAAAGGTTTTACGGCAAAGCCATTACAAGACAGTTAGGCCAACATGGCTTTGCTTTACTAGTTAGCTTGATATCTGGATTCATCAGGTGTCAATGGGAGAGCTGAAGGTGTTAACTGCGGAGTCAGACGCCACTCGTATGCATTTCGAGCGTGTCGTCAGTGACCTGTTATATAAGAGCTTCCGGAAAGCTCGTTTGACACGAAACTGAATTAGACTCGTCGGCATTCTCAAAGAAAAAAAAACGGTTCGCTAGTTTCAGTAATAAGTTTCGAGAAATAGTATCCTCTGATGGCTATACGAGCTGCGGACGGGGTGGGACGGGTGGCGACGTTGTCGAGGTCAGGGTCACATCACTTGCACGCCGATCAATAACCGGTGACGCAACAGCCTTTGTTTACGTCCTGCAATAAAACGGTCAGCGGTCCTTCCGTCTGTGTCGTGATATATAATGGGGGCTGTTAAATGTGTCGGAACGAGATTCTACACCGTTATCTTTATCCCATTTGCAGTGTTCCTACTACAAGATGTTCGCTTTAGATCAGCTGTAGTTTAACGCGTGCATGTGCTCGCAATTCGTAAACACCAAGGCTGATAGAAACTTTTAAATAAAACTTTTCGAGCTCTGGCTCGTTTTTTACATTTTCCCAAGGTAAACAGGATAACCGAAATTTCGTTGACACATCTTTATTCAAATATTGATTTAAATAATAAATTTGTTACGTCAATAACGTGAGGCATTTGTAGCGAAAGGAAATAAACATTAAACGGTAACATTATATTTGTCTCGAATGATATTATATCTACTCACTTGTCATACACGGTTGAGCCCTTGAACACATAACTCCCCCATATTGGTTGCCCTGAGCTCCTTCCCCACCGCTTCTTTATTCACACCCCCTAGTTTGTTTCCCTGAGGCCGCCTCTCCTTACCTTATTCCCTCCCTACTTTATCACCCTGAGACCGCCCCTGCGCGTTGCCATCGATCGCCCGCGGCCTCGTCCCGCGGATGACCTTGAACTGCGTGCCTCTGCTGAACGCACGCGCTCGGCGGCACCACCTCAGCTGCGGAGACCCGGACCGCGCCTAGCAACAGGGGACGGGCATAGCGGAGACCCAGGGTCGAGCAGCCGAGTCGATAGGGCTGCACAGCTCAGCATGGCCATGGGGTGGGGTAGTACCCCGTGGTTTTATGTTCTGACCTAAAGGAAATGTAACGTGGCAGCATTAGCCTGATATTAGAGCACAATAGTTAAGGTCAGGTGATCAATGATCAAGATCATTTATCATAAACTTGTGGATGCTATTAACTATTTTGGGTAACCTGAATAGGGGAAGTTGGGGGAACGCCGAAGACTTTTTTTCTGACGCCCGTAGCACGCAAGGTAGACAACATAAGCTATTCTTGTTGGCGTCATTCGAGAGGCCAGTCTTTTGCCTTTCAAACATACCAGGCGCATTTGATGAATTCGCATACCGTTAAGCGCACAAACTAAAAATATCAAAGAAGTGACTTTTTCGGCGTTGCCCCGGACTGCGGGGAAAGCCGAAAATGGGAGAAATTATCTACGGGGAATGCCGACATTGATGTTTTGCCATTTTATCTCAAACTTTATCCAGAATTCATCAAAGCTGACACGCGTTTTAAGAGCTTGAGGACGCGGTGCACACTGGAAGTTATAATTGTGTGATATAATAAGAACATGCCAGGTAAATCATTCCTTATAGGTAACAGGCCGTTGTGTCGGTTGAAAGTGTAATCTATACTACTATTTGAACAGGATCCATCTGTCTGTCTGTTTGTCCGCCACGCCGTGTAGTGGGTTCAATTTAGCCGGCCTACAGGGCAGACGGTATATCGTAGGGGGTTGAAATTTGCACACCTTATAGGTGACAGAGCGGGTCAGCGCCTTTTCTAGGTTTCCACTCGCTGGGGTGCACGGTTCGCGCGTGGGGCGCGCTGGAAGAACGCCAATGAAATTTTGATCGGTTCGTATATCTTCATTGAGAGCCGGGGTCGACAAACTTTGTGAGCTAAATGCATGCCGATCGGTGGCGGGTGCCTCGCATTGGCGGATGGGCAAGTTTTTAATTTGAATAAAAAGTGGCGAGAGAATGTGTTGATTTTCATTCAATGAGAATAATTTATGATACAAGTTTAAAGTGCACCGCTTTGCCGCAATGCGTCACATTGGTCACAGGGCGTCATTTTTGCCACAAATCGCACAACTTTGTAAAATATGGTCCGATACGGGTACAATTTGGTGCCAGGATGCATGCTCAATCGCCGGGTGAAAATGCGCCGCGTTTGTCGCAATGCGCCACATATGCCACAAAGCGCCATTTCCGACAAATACGATTAAGCGTAATGGAATGGGACGAATAGGGGCAGGGTTGGGGAACACTTTAAATCTGATATTTTAGTACTGATTGGATCCAATTATTATGTGACCTGACATGACCTAGCGGTATTGGTAGGGGTAGAGGCATGGGTAGTGGTAGTGGTAGGAGGTAGGGGTAGGGGTAGTGGTAGGGGTAGTGGTAGGGGTAGTGGTAGGGGTAGTAGTAGGGGTAGGGGTAGTGGTAGGGGTAGGGGTAGTGGTAGGAGTAGTAGCAGGGGTAGGGGTAGGGGTAGTGGTAGGGGTAGAAGTAGGGGTAGTGGTAGGGGTTAGGGTAGGGGTAGGGGAGTAGTATGGGTAGTAGTAGTGGTAGGGGTAGGGGTAGATGTGTGGTAGGTGTAGGGGTAGGGGTAGGGGTAGTGGTAGGGGTAGGGGTAGGGGTAGTGGTAGGGGTAGGGGTAGTGGTAGGGGTAGTGGTAGGGGTAGTGGTAGTGGTAGGGGTAGGGGTAGGGGTAGGGGTAGGGGTAGTGGTAGGGGTAGGGGTAGTGGTGGAGGCAAAAGCAGAACAGTGGCCCGGGCTGATCCCAGCGAACGAGAGGTGACCTATGTGACCTGGCCTGACCCAAAGTGACCGGGGCTGACCCCTTTGACCCGTCTTGACCCCGTATCACCCAAATTTCATCCAACAACGCCCTCAGAACAGTTCTTTTTTAAATTCTCTTCACATTTCCGTCCATATCTATGCTTCTAGACGACACATCGACATGAATCAAACACCATTCGAAAGCAAATTGGCTGGTGCCGCATTTTTTCCTACCACGCAGCAAAGCAAGTGGCGCAGCCGCTTGTCTATATTACTATTTGAGGAGGGTGCGTCTGTCCGTTACCGAGGTCCCGACTTGGTGCTGCTTTGCGTGGACTACAGGCCAGACCGTTGCACCTAGCCCGGTGAAATTTGCACAACTTATAGATCAAGGATGCGCGACGTGCCTTTGAGGGGTCTGGGCTCGATCGGGTCGATAGGGAGCGCGTGGCGCGTGCACAAAAAGTGCAAATTTGCGTCATAGACTTTACATGTATAAATCGGCGTGCGAAATCGGGCGAAAACGGCTAATTTTGACCGACACGGGTCCAGTTCCTGTGCAATATCTTGGTGACCAGGGGTCCGACCGGCACGGGGAAAACAGCATCGTGTACAGAATTGAACGGGCTATTGAATGGTGTGCAATGCAGAGGATAGCACGCGCCACGTGCACCGGAGAGGGCACTTTTATTTGAAAAATTGCGTTTTTTGAGGGATTTTGGAATTAATTTTATTTTTAGGTGAACATTAAATGGAGCGAGTTGAATCAACGCCTATTTGCAAGAGAAAGGTACGGCCTCTCATATAAAAATTGTGAAAAGCTGATTGATCCAAATCAAGGTGGTGCAAATCACAGGAGAAAATGGTGTTTGTCAATTTTGTGCCACTTTATTAATCACACGGGGTTTGCTGCATAACCTGATACCTTTGGCAATTGAATATGGTACCATTGGATAGAGCATTCAATTCTGTCCAATATTCACTCTTCATTTTTGCATGATTAGCAACAGTATCCTTAAAAATGTAAATGTTCCAAACCATTACATTGTCATTTTTAGCGAAATTCATCGATGGCCCTCAAAAGACTTCACGCCAGTTTTCGAATCATTCTAAAGTAGAACGCATGATAATACGACACGGGCACCTCGATGCGATGTATCTTTTTTGTTTCACTACAAAATGTTTTGCCGTCAAAAAGCAATCGAACGAAATGGATACCAACCAAATCGACACAGACCAACCCAATACCCACGGGTCACAAATAACCCTTCTTCGCGTTGCGGAGCACGCGGGTAACCCTAGTCTATATTACTATTTGAGGAGGGTGCGTCTGTCCGTTACCGAGGTCCCGACTTGGTGCTGCTTTGCGTGGACTACAGGCCAGACCGTTGCACCTAGCCCGATGAAATTTGCACAACTCATAGATCAAGGATGCGCGACGTGCCTTTGAGGGGTCTCAGCTCGATCGGATTGATAGGGAGCGCGTGGCGCGTGCTCAAAAAGTGCAAATTCGCGTCATAGACTTTACATGTATAAATCGGCGTGCGAAATCGGGCGAAAATGGCTAATTTTGGCCGACACGGGTCCAGTTCCCGTGCAATATCTTGGTGACCAGGGGTCCGACCGGCACGGGGAAAACAGCATCGTGTACAGAATGGAACGGGCTATTGAATGGTGTGCAATGCAGAGGATAGCACGCGCCACGTGCACCGGAGAGGGCACTTTTATTTGAAAAATTGCGGTTTTTGAGGGATTTTGGAATTAATTTTATTTTTAGATGACCGTTAAATGGAGCGAGTTGAATCAACGCCTATTTGCAAGAGAAAGGTACCGCCTCTCATATAAAAATTGTGAAAAGCTGATTGATCCAAATCAAGGTGGTGCAAATCACAGGAGAAAATAGTGTTTGTCAATTTTGTGCCACTTTATTAATCACACGGGGTTTGCTGCATAACCTGATACCTTTGGCAATTGAATATGGTACCATTGGATAGAGCATTCAATTCTGTCCAATATTCACCCTTCATTTTTGCATGATTAGCAACAGTATCCTTAAAAATGTAAATGTTCCAAATCATCACATCGTCATTTTTAGCGAAATTCATCGATGGCCCTCAAAAGGCTTCACGCCAGTTTTCGAATCATTCTAAAGTAGAACGCATGATAATACGACACGGGCACCTCGATGCGATGCATCTTTTTTATTACAAAATGCTTGGCCGTCAAAAAGCAATCGAACGAAATGGATATCTACCAACTAAATCGACACAGACCAACCCAATACCCACGGGTCAAAAAATCCCCCCTTCGCGTTGCGGAGCACGCGGGTAACCCTAGTTTGTGTGACTAAAAATACGCGTTGCTATTCTACAGCAGTAAAGTCCACGTAGCGTGCTTTTAACACGTGCGTAATCGCACGTTTTCGGCATTACCCCAGCCTGCCATACTTTCATTTGCAGGCCCATAACTTTTCAACGTGCTGTATAAATTTCAAATAGGCAGCACACTTATGCAAAGACATGCTAAAGATTACTTGACCGAATTGGCCAGACAAACGGTAGCATAATGAGTAAGAAATGCAGCTTCAAAGGCGCATGTAGTACAAGGGAAACGTACCTTGAAAACGCTCTTGGCGCCCTCACAGTCGAAGTATTCCGAATGACGACTCGTAACAAACATGCGATAATTGTAGTCACTTAAGCTTCAGAGCATCACTGACAGGTGGCATCCATGTCTTACGGTTTTCGAAATATCTCGAATTTCGGCTTTGCCCCAACTCCGGCATTGCCCCAACTTCCCCTACAGCCGATGGCTGATCTTAGGTGACGGTGTGCTTTCGTGAATTTGGAAAATTATGGTAAGGGCAACAGAAGTAGGCGTCCTCAACATAAAGGAGGTTGCCTACTTGAAAAAGAAAGTAATTTCAAGGAATCAACCGGTTGTTATTTTACCTCGTCTGTGACTGAGTTCATTGCTCACTGGGTTAACTGTATGGAATGCAGGCAGTGATGTGGCAATATAATTTGAGCTATCAACATCTCTTTGCATGGTCTGAATCCATTCATAGGTATGTTGTGAATGTGCTAGATACGCGCTAGCAAGATCTCGGGCCATATTATTTTAAAGGGACACTCCCACCTTAACATTAGTTTTGAGTTGAGATAGCCAAATTGGTGGCCATGGCCTGCAAATACCGGTTTGGGCACTCACAACATCGACAAATGCTTTAATTCGGAGATATGGAATTTCAAACTTGCAGTTTCCGGATTCTAAGGGCTAGTGCATTGGTATGCCCCCTTAGAATTTGTGACGTCAGCGGAGATATAACGATTTTTAAATCTTTTACTAAAACGTTTGGTAGCACGCGGTGGTATATGCTGCCTTGCGCGCAACAAATGCCGCACTTTCAAATAAAGTCGCTAGGAACAGCGGAGATCCCAAAAAGTAAACAAAAGTAAAAGTCTAATATCTTGAAAACCGGTGAATATTTTTCGATGAAATTTGGTAGATATTCGTTTTCGCTCTTTCTGAACCGAGCGACATCACTTTCGTGCCAATTCATCAACTTTTTTGAAGGTGGGAGGGTCCCTTTAAACCTATTTTTTGTTTGCCTCAGGCGTGCGATGGCGCGATGAGCCGGTTAGCCGGCGCCCCCGGCGTCACCGGACACGTGACTTGTGACGTCACGGAGGAGAGGGCAGCTGACGCAGACGGCTACCGGCGCGCATTCAGGGTGGGTACTGGGTGCCGACATAGACACGATATAGAGAGGCTGCTGCTGTAACGCCGCGGTGTCTTTGAGCAGTTCACTTTATGTTGCAACACTTTATTTAATTTCGGCCTTTTCAACTCTCAGAAATAGCCATGGATTTAAATTTGCGCACAACCGGCTTTGAGTGTAGTTAATCACCCTCAAAGACAGACGAGATAGTGCACATCGCTAAAGTTGATAGAGCTACCTCAAGGGGCGAGTTATCTTTGATCTTCCTCATATGTGATCGCTCCACCCTGACCCACCAGTGACCTGTGACCGTGACCTGACCCCCAGGAGAGCCGCGGCAGCGCGTTCAACCGCTCTATCATCGAGAACCCACTGTTTGCCATGCTGGGAGGAGAGAACCGTGACCCTCTGAGGTCGGACGCTGACCTTTGGCCGGTCAAACGGCCGCTGGGGGAGGACGAGCCGCCGTGTCCTACCAAACTGAGCCTGGGAGGAGGGGAGCAGTGCTCCGTGAGGGTCACTTCCAGGGAGGACAGGTGAGGAATGACAGGGTGAAAGGGCTGGGTGTTCCAGGTGACGGGCCAGGGTCAGGTCATGCGACAGTTGAATGTAATTGTAAAAAGCAGTGTTTTGTTTCAGTAAGTTGAATAGGGACGGATTGACGAGGCCAGAGCCAGAGCTTATCATAAACTAAACCTGAGAGGAATATGTATGTCAGTCAAAAGCTTATGTATTTGTTATCTGAATGCTGAATTCAATGTTAGTAGAGACGTCAAATTCTCTGCTGATCGCCGGACACTGGCCTATGATGACCTCTCTGACCCCTCACCAGGTTTATACCGTACGAGGGCCGCCCTATGAAGCGGTGTCACTCGGCCCCCGGGGGTCACGTCAACCTGAGAGACTCTGCGGGTCGGCGACCTCGGCTGCTGCACCAGCCCAGCCGGGTCGACATGGTCAAAAGGTCAGACTGGCAGGGCATATAATTATATATGGAGAGAGAATAGGCGGATATGTATGGTTACAACGGATTTGCTGCACACTGATGAGATTTGTTTGAAAGATTTGTATAAATATTTCTGTGATAAGAGAGGTTATAAAAATTTATTCTACTGATATGTTTTGTTTCTTCGCATTTGTGCTTACATTAGTGTATCTAATTTAGTATTTTCTTTAGCTGTACCGTCTAACGCAAAAGTAAGCACACTCCGTTCCTGTCTTCCTCACTGCTCTTTCTTCGTTTTCAGTTACATGCGTCAGGCGGCGAAGCACTATTTCGGTCTGGACGAGTCGGACGATGACCGGAACCGGGCGCGCTGGAGGGAGCGTCGTCGCCGACTGGCCTGCCGCGCCTATGGCCGGCTCAAACCCGAGTGCTGCCAGGTCAGACAGCGGGGGTGTCGGGTCAAAGTGGAGGATGTCAGGTCAGGGAGGGGTGCTGCCAGGTCAGAGAGTGGGGCGGTCAGGTCAGATAGCGGGGGTGCCAGGTCAAAGAGGGGTGCAAAGCGGTCATGGGTGCTATCAGGGAGGATTTTGGGATGAAGGGTCAGATAGAGGCGGGTTGATGACAAAAAAGGTGGAAAACCGTCTAACCCGCCGCACATGCACTGTCGTGTTCTGTGCTTGGTTCTTCCTTACCCATTTAGCTGAATGTTCTCTATTGGGCTGTTTACCCGTTTCCTTTAACAATTTTATGTGATAGGCATTGTTGACTGTAGACTTGTAGAGCTATATGCAGGTCCTGGCAGGCCATGGACGTAAGGACCTTGAATTTTCCGAATCCCCCTCTAACCCCGTGTGCCGCCCCCTCAGGAGTCGGTGTACGAGCCGCCGTCGTACCGGCGCCGCTCCCTGTCTAACCCTGCGTGCCCCCCCCCCCCCCCCCAGGAGTCGGTGTACGAGCCGCCGTCGTACCGGCGCCGCTCGTTGTCCGACCTGGTGGACATGGTGGACGGCCCGGAGCCCGCGACGCCCGCCCCCTGCCGCAGGAAGGAGCACGTGGCGCAACTCACATGGAGGGGGCTCGGATACCTGTCACAGGTGCGTCACACAACGGGCAACGGGGGTCACGACTGTCACGACTCACGAGTCGGTCACCAATTGGTCATCAGAGTCACCAATCGGTCAGATATAGAGCATTTATTGCTCACTGCGACTGTGGTGGCACTGAGTAGTGGTTCTATACCAAATACGAGCACCTGCTTCAGCATCAGAGGCTTCTTACCCATATCAGTTCTTGGTATTCATTTCGAATAACTCAAAAAATATCTCAAAGTTTAGAAATATCTTGTGGGATGTTTTCTAACGTCTTGCTGATACTGTAAACGTTTGATGCCACTTGCTCTTGACTTAACTTCCCGAAGCAGTTGGGTATCACTTTACTAAACCCTCTCTCACCCGTTTGCCCCCTCTGTTCGGCAGTGGGTGGCGCACGGCCGGCTGGGCGGCTCGTCCCAGAGGACCCGCTCCCGCAGTTTCCCCCGGCCCTCTGCCCGGCCGCGCTCCCCGCCTCTCTACTCTGCCGAGGAGGGCGCTCTGCCCCTGGAGAGACGCACCGACCCTCTGACAGACCCGGCGCCGCCCGTGGCGGATGAGGTGGGTAGCGGTCACCTGGTGACAGTCTGTCAACGCTGTTACTGCTCTACGGCGGACTGCTGAATGCTAAAATGTAGTGGACGGATATAAGTGTGTGTGGGGGGGGGGGGGGATGGGACTGACAGTGACCTCTGGGTAAGGGTTTGGGTGGAGGTAGTTCGTCGTTACAAAAAAAAATATATCGGCGTTAAAAAGTGGCAACCCAAGTAGAGCTGAAGTTTAATTCTGCTCATCAGATTGTCCTCATTATTTCCTTTCTTGTCTAGTGTTTTCAGCTCTCGGGTTCTTCAAAACTTCAGTGCGCTTTGTTCGATATCTTGACCATTTAACACTCCAACATTGGCACTCGCAAATCAAGCACGAGCTCATTAGTACGACTTGTTTTTTCGTTGCAAATAACTATTTAACATTAGTTTGTGCAAACAAAATCGGAACAACAAATGACAGCTGACTACAGAGAAAACAATACCTTCAACTCTAGACTGCTACTTGTGTCTGACAAAGTCTGAACGACAAAAGCTCAACACTGAATCCATATGACCGCTGCCAATCGGCAGATAACGAAATAAACCTGTCACACTTCGTCAAACAGTGTCAACCTACACAGCCCCGTGTACCTACAAGATCTCGACCTGCGATCCCGTCTTTGTTCGTCCTATGGCCAAATTTGCTCGGAGACGTGTTTTAGTGCGTTCCACAAAGCCCCGGAGCGGGAGGCCTGGCGTTATAGCGCCATTTAGAGCCGGGACGCGTGTGGTGCCGGCCGTCAGAGCACAAAGGCGGCGGCGGCGGCGGCGGCGCGGCGGCGGCGGTGGTGGCGCACGCGCTCCTTTGTCGTCGTCGGTAGCGGGCTGTGTCTGACGGGAGACCCGACGGCCCGACGGTGGAGTCGTTGGTGGGCACGTGCCCCGGGGCCAAACAGCGCCGAGAGACGGCGGTGGGTAACTCCCCGGGGCGACGGGAGGCGGAGACAGCGGTGGCTGAGACTGGCGGGAGACGGCGTCCGTTCCGGACATTCGGGGTTTTTGATTGACGAGCTGAAAACTTTGCCATCTTAAGTCAACGAGGTGTCCAAAATAATGGGATTCATGAGGTAGAAAGTGTGGTTTTCTATTGCGCTAGATGATTGTTATTTGTTAAATATGGCTAATAAGCCGATGGGACTTTCTAAGTGGCCAGTAACCAACGTTTTGTGTACTGAATGTTTTTAACAATTATAAATTTTCATCCGCCGAACCGCAACAATAGGAACCCAAATTTATAGTGTCAAATTTACATCACTTTTTCAATGTTCCATCGATCTGTATCTGCTAGATACCAGAAGAAATAAGGACTGATTGTTACAGCAGTAATGCAGAACACATTTTGCACATTTTTGGCAGGCTGTAATGTATTCCTTTGTGTGTTCAAGCAATAAATACCTGCAAGATTATTTTTGTGCTTGCCCATTGCCCAAGTTCGACGCTCTTCGGTCACAATAATGTGATATTGCCTTGGAAAACGTGAACATATTCTTTGTCCAACAATGGCAATGATTGCGTTTGGGCTCAACGGGGTGGCGAGCACTATGTTTTGTGATTTCCTCGCTTTCGTCTTTCACGGGTCTTTTGTTCCATAAATATCGGACAGAAAGGAAACTTGCTGGCTTCTTTTACCTGTTGGAAACTATCTGAGGATGAAATAAGTGGTCAATACGGCACGTTTTGTCGCTAACAAGGCTACAACGTCACTGCTTTGTTTTGGACGGAGGAAATAGTGTGACCTGAAACAGAAGCGTTGGTAGCTGTGTTTTCGTCCTTCCCTTTTGTAATGATGTCATTTTTAAAACTTAATTCAATGTATGTACTGCTTTTGCAATATTCAATTTGCTTAATTGAAGAAGCAGAAATCCTCTAGCCTTTGGCGAATCGACGCTGAGCTTCCCTCGGCGGCCCACACTGGGCCGGGGGCCCGGAAAAGTGCTAGAAATTATCTGTGATTGAGTTGTTGATCTCAGTGACAAGCAAACATGCTAAAAACGACGTGGGGCTGCTTAACCCTCGCCGGACCTATTGTCGGACCCCCCCCCCCCCCCCTCGGCCAGCCGAGGGGGAGGATTGGTACGACCCCTTTTCGCCGTTTCGCCCCTAATGGAGCTAGAGCCTCGCGGAAAAAACAAGCGTGTGCGCCGTTTCAAGACGAAACGATTGATACCCGATTTTAAGGTCCCAGGTCAACCGGTAGCCTCTGAGGTGAAGTCAAAAAGCCCAAGGTAGGGTTTAGTTTTTGGTAAATAATTTCGCAAAAAATGGCCGCAGAGCAGCGATTTTGGCACCATCGTGTTCGCCTGGCTCAGGCGCGTCGAATGGTATACTTTTTGTCCGGGTGAGGTCAACTTAAGGTGTTGACCTCGAGTCAAGGTCAGTTCAGAGCCCATCAGGCCACGAACTTAATCGAAGGAAGTCGTATTGCATATCATTCGATTCGGGAGGTCTTCCCGAGTCCATTGGTGGCTTTCCCGAGTCGCTGGCTCAATTTGATCATGAGTTATTGACGAAAAACTCCTATGACCGTAATGACGTCATAAATGACGTCACGGAAGGTCAAAAATGCAAAAGTAAAGCATCGGATCTTGCAAGGAGTGCATGAAATCACGATTCCGAGTGCTTGAGATAGTTTGAGGTCATTTCTTGCGCAAAAACAGCAGTTTCCTTATTTCCCCATTGACTTTTATTGGTGAGGTCACGTGACCTCGAAGAGTAGCAGGCATTAGCAAAAATTGCGAGTAGGGCATGACAGAAAGATGGTTAGTGGTTTGTATGGCATGGTCATTTTTAGCGGCTCGAAATAACATTTCTCAAAAAGTCTGACTAAAGAGCAAGTTGTTGTTGATTATCACTGACTTGTGTTTGGGGGTTAATAACGACTGAATTTTTTAGTTTGGGCCAAAATTTTTAACAGCATTGTGTGCGTTGATCAATTCTGAGCTCAGGGACATATATTCTATTCTGATTATACGCGTTTGTTTTTCAAAACTTCCAGCGCTTTAAAGAGCGCCGGGCCTTCAGTAGAGCGGCGAGGTGACAATTGCCCCTACATCATGTGGTTTACTTGCGCATATCTCGAAAAGTAGCAGGGAAAAGCAGCAAAGCACCTATATGGAACGAAAGATGAGTAATCAGAGGCTAGTATAAAATGTTCATTTTTAGCTGCTCGAAATCACATTTTTATAAAAGTCTAATTAAAAAATTAGAAATGATTTTTAATTACGTCTTGCAGCTGCTTGCAAAAAGCTAGCTTATCTTGCAGAAAAGCGATGCAATATGTAAGAATGATGTTGGCACAGTGAACAACAGTGCCCTAAACTAGTCTGTGAGGAAATTTCGTTCAAAACGACGATTGGTCAGCTAATAAATTACCACTGAAGATCATCATGAAAATCGGTAAATGTGGTGGCCACTAGAGAGTCTAAATTGTCTTGTGTTTGGTGACAACTGACGACCTCAATTTTGACCTTAGGGAAAAACTGGCATCGGAATCGTATTCTTCGATCAATTTGGGATTAAATGATACCTATTTTGTTCATATTGCGGAGAGTCAGTTTGGGGGAATTTCTAGCGCTTTTTCGGGCTGCCGGCCTACAGTGCGGCCGCCGCAGTCCGCCGCACTGTGAGGTAGACTGTGCCGCAGTGCTCTGGAGTCGGCGGCACAGCATACCTACCGTCCTACCGTTCGCTGGCATCAGCCGTCGCACCCCGCGGCGACGGCAGTGGGGGGGGGGGGGGCGATCTTCTGGATACAGGACAAAACATTGAGCAGATTACAGTGCTGTACTGACGCTGAATTTCATATCAACTGTCGGTGATCAAAATTGCATTTTATCAGTGGCTATTGCATTTCTCGGGACGTTGAAAACGCAGCTACAAAACATGGATTGTTTCGCCAATCCTAGCCGAAGCAGATATACGGGTAAAGCCTTAGACTGGATTCAGCCCTCGCTAAAGGGAAAGTGACCGAGCCCCAGTGGCCTGCCCTGACAGCTATGGAGTCGGATGTTATGCCAATAACATAGCCGGTAACGTCGTCATTAAAGCCCATTCCTCGAAAGCCTGTTGGTGGCTGGACAGTTTACCTCTACAATCACTGTGACCCTGCAGTCCCCGAGCCCGTTCCCGAGCAGGTGTCACTGTATTGACGTTATACACGGTACGAGTCAACAGCACGGTCCGGCGACAAAATCACTTCTGGGAAACTGAGCGCTGGCAGTGTTTGTAAAAGTGAGTCAGGTGTTCAAGAAAACTGCATTCAAACGGTGCTTTCGAGTGAGTGAGGTGAGGTCACATGTGATGTAATTCTGAGAAATAAATGTTTCAACAATAATCCCGTAAATTATGACCAACGTATTGGAGCTGGGTGGCCTGCGAAAACATTGAGAAGCATCTCTCTGATGGTGTTGCAAGCCCTGCTGAAGATCATATTCCCCGTCTCTGCGTTGCAGCTACCATAATAAGGCCCGTTGCCACTGCAGTGCCACTCTGTATGCCAATTAGGCGTTCCTGGGATATTAAATAACTCCAGCGGTGTTCCCAGGGGTCGCAGTGTCGGTTCGGCGATCCTGTTGCTGCGTTATTTAATTACGGAGCATGTAACAGTGACGCAATGTCGGACATTGTTACAGCATTTGTAACACTGACGTAAGATAAGGAGTATTGCACCACAAAGAAAACACCGCCGTGCTGCTAAGGGAGGAAATCTCTTGTTAGTGAAGTGCTGCACATTACACGTAAGTTGCCGACGCGCCAGGTAGTGTAGTGTCTAATCTTTTTGACGATATAAGGGGTATAAGAAGGTGCCACATGTAGCATATATTGCAGATTGTACTTGTAGTGCTCCAATTCCTCAGCGAACTTACCTAGGTATAGCGTCTGTTTTCATCACATCATCATTATCCGTGTAAGACTGGCTAGTTCTTCCGGAGACAAACAGCCCTGTGCCTTTGTTTCAGAACTCAAGGTCGATTATCGGTGTCCATATTCGAGGTCGAGGTCATGGAGACCATTATAGTTCCCGGTCTTTGTGGTAGCTCTGAGAACGCTACAGAATGGCCCTGCAGGATGGAAATTGATGATAAATACGAGGACAATCATTGGGCGTCATTTACCTTGCAAATGTGTGGCAGCAGAGACAAATACAATAAAACTAAAGATGTCTAGGAGAGATATTTGGTTGTCGAATATTGATGCACACATGCGGTGACATCCGACGGCAATCCGATTTTTCTGACTCATTTCTCCCGTTCAGCTGTGAGTCAATATCCGTTAACTCTCTCGGTCGGCGTTTCGGCTGATTTATTTGATTTGACCAGCAGCGGCCCTGTTTATTAGTCCACCGATGTCCTGTCCTCTGACTCACTAAGTGGTTCCCGGTACTCAGTAGTCCACACAGTCGGTTCCTGGAACTCGCCCTGACGCCGTCCGGACACGCAATGCCGGCGGTAATCAGCGGTGTTCGATCTCTGAGGCCCGGGCGTTTCCCTGGGAGGTCGGGTCGGGGCGGAGTGTCCCCTCAGGGCCGGGCGCCCCCCCCCCCAGCGCCCGGTCGTCTCAGGGGGGGGGTCTCGGTCAGCTGAGCGCTTGGTCGACTGCCCGCGGCTCTAACCGGCCCGCGTGCCGGCCACCGGTCGATGGTGGCACAACAAAGACTGCCGTGGGGAGGCACGTGCTTCTATGGGGAGAGCCGGCGGCCGGCGGAGCAGCGCGTCACTTCGTGCTGGGAGACGGAGACGGGAGGACGGGAGGACGGTCTGAGGAGTGTGTGTTAGAGAGGACTGTGATTGATGGACTGTGAGAGGGACTGTGAGAGCTGTGAGCCACAGCGTGCTGCTTAGAATATCGGAGCGGTGTGGACTTCGAAACTATCCTCGAAACCGTTTGAAGTCCGACTCAAAGAAGACTACTTAGAAGACTCTCAGAAGAACAGTGTACTGTTCAAAGGACTCTGAAAGGTAGAAGATAAATGTGTCCGCACAGGACGCATCGACGAGTGCTTTGGGAGATGTTGAGGATCAGTGGCTCGAGTTGACGACTGCTTCTGCAGTGAAGAAACCGGTCTCTGCACGGTGACGGGTAATCTGGACTACGAGCTCTTTTTCACGGTGCCTTTTTGAATACCATTAATCGCACAAACTTTTGTACAAGGATCCCTTTTTGTACCGACTGTGATCTTTTCTAAGGACTTTTGTATCTTTCCCTGGTGCTTCCTCGTTGTGCGTCGTCGGCCAATTTTCTGCGATGACTTGTCTCAGTCCCTCGACGTCGGCAGTCCTGCTGAAGCAGAAGGTGTTGGCTCGACTGAGCGGTCCCACAGTGAGACACAGTGTGGCCGGCGGGACCGCCAGTCCAGCATCGCGGCCCAGCTGTGTGGTGCAGGTCAGTGCGGTCGACTGTTGCAGGTCACAAACGTACACCACATGTGGTGAAGCGGTGGAACAGGTCAGTGTGGTCGACTGGTGCCGGTCACAAACGTTCACCACATGTGGTGTATCTGTCGTGCAGGTCAGTGTGCTCGACTGGTGTCGGTCACAAACGTACACCACATGTGGTGTAGGCATCTGTGGTTCAGGTCAGTGTGGTCCACTGGTGCCGGTCACAAACGTACACCACATGTGGTGTAAGTATCTGTGGTGCAGGTCAGTGAGGTCGACTGGTGCCGGTCACACACTTACACCACATGGTGTCGACTATCAAGTTTAGGCTCTATTGTGTGCTTACAATGAACCACAGGCGAAAGACGAACGATTTTTATCCCTTCCGCTGTTGACATCGATACCAATGCAAGCTGCTCAAGGCAAAAAAAGACGGAATCATGTGGATGAGAGGAGTTCATAGACACAAGGTAGGCGTTACCGACGGGGACGATCCCTCGCCGTATACCCCGGTATGTGATCTTCATAGAGATGTTAAATAACAATTGGCTGTTCTTGTGTTGCAGGTGTTTTTCGACAAGGTTCCTCCCAACCCCGGCTTACCGGACGACATCCGGGACCCACTCAGGGAGAAGGCTTTCGGGTTAGTAAAACGGAAAAGGTGGAGGTCGTAAAGATTTCCAAGACAGTTTAGTTTACACAAGTGAGCATGAACAAAATTTACATAGCTCGAAAAGATGAAAGCAACTCAGTCGATAGAGTAACAGTCTTCCATTTCATATGTAACGCTTCTTGTAATGTCGTGCATTTGGTGGACTTACGCCATTGGAGCAGTACCTCAGCAGTCAGCACTGTTCACGTCATCGGTCTGGCTCGTATCGATTACAGTCCACCGAACTCCAGCTACACAGTTCCTTATATCGGCCGCCTTTACAGCAGCCTCACAAGTCCTGCTGTGTCAACGCATTGACCCGGACAAAAGCTACTTCCTATGACATTGCGTTGCTTCTGTTATACTGTCCTGTTACACACACGATGTTTTCCCAATGACCCAACGGCTCCTCACACCGTCCTCTGGCTACGTAACTATCTGGTCTAAAACGCCAACTTGAACTACCACATTTAGATGGCTCTTAGACCCTGACACGTTTTTCCTTTGTCGAATCAACATATCTGCCCTCCCCATAGTTGTTATTCATATACCCCGTGTCTCCCCTCCTCCCATCCTCCCGCAGAAACCGGTTCCTACGGCCGGCCTCTGAGGGAGATACAGTGGACGCCGGACCCTGACAGTGTATCTCTCCCCTCCCCTCCCCCCGCAGTAACCAGTTCCTGCGGCCGGCCTCTGAGGGAGATACAGTGGACCCTGGTCCCTGACAGTGTATCTCTCCCCTCCCCCCAGTAACCGGTTCCTGCGGACGGCCTCTGAGGGAGATACAGTGGACGCCGGGCCCTCGGTGGGCCACCGCCGCATCTGGGCGAGGCTGCTGGACCGACTGTTCGACAACAGCAACCGGCGGCAGTACGGCCGGGGGGTCGCAGCCAAACTGTTCGGGTAGGTTTCAATGGCGGCAACTCTCAGCAGTCCCTAGTGGCTGCCTTCCCAGCTCCCATTACATCGTTAGTCAGTAGGCATTAATAATTAGGACGTCATAACAAATAAGGTGTGCTGTGTGGCCCATTTGAATTGCTTCTCTTTCATTGTCAAATGTTTCATGAACCAAACGAGCCAACGGTTCACATGTAGCGAATGGGAGCTGGGAGTTGCTCAACGGTCTTAAGTCGGCCATGCGTTTCAGTATGACATTGTCCCGTGTGCCCCCACCTCAAATAAGTCCACCCATCCCCCCCCCTCAGCGGCCGCAAGTGGCGGCGTTCTGTAACCAGCCGGGCGGACGTGGCCTCCCGGCTGGACAACCTCTGATCTCTGACCTCTGACCTCTGACCTCTGACCTCTGACCTCTGCCCCCCTCAGGGGCCGAAAGTGGCGGCGCTCTGTAGCCAGCCGGGCGGACGTGGCCTCTCAGCTGGACGACCTGGAGGACCACCGACCCTACTTCACCTACTGGGTGACCACGGTGCAGGTGCTCATCATGGTCATATCGCTCGGCTGCTACGGCTTCGGACCGTTCGGCTTCGAGCTGCAGCAGATCAGTGGGAAGGTACGGAATGGAGTTGAGGGAATGGGAGTGAAAGAAGGGAAATGGTAATGTAAACTGCTTGTGATTTTAGCGTGTTGATGATGCAACTATTGACAGCGTCCCAAAACTTTGAATAAAAGAAAGTGTCGAATAGCTTTGATGTTCAGTAGCGTTTTTAATTATGTCAATAATTGCCACAATAATTGCAACTTATTTAATGTGCTTTGAAGCTTACCTTCGAGCAAGATCGCTTCATAAACCGCTTTCGAATAAAGACGATAGCAAATAACGCGTCTCTTTTGCGTTGTAGGTTATGGACACAAGTCTTTCATTGCAACAAGTTGACTATTGGGAACCGGCTAACCTATGGTTCGGACCGCGAGCGGTAAGTAAAAAAGGATTACGGTTTTTAGTAACGAAATCGCACAAATGGATTGGTTACTCCTTTGTGTTATGTGAGCTTCCATTTCCAACGCTCAAGGACAACAATCGAGGGATCTTGTGTGGCTAACTGTCATTTAGCAAAAGTGGGTCGAACTGATAACCCAATGCTTTGTTTGACAAATATGCGACAAGAAACCAGAAAAAAGCCTTTCACAACAGTGCTTGGTGCTCGTATAGCTCAGTCGCGAATGCTTGTTTTTCATGCTGTCTAGAACATTGAAAGCAGCCCGTTCCCACCCTCTTGATCTGACCTGGTTCCTGGAAATCCCGATGAGGCACACTTCTGACACCGCTCGTCCCTGGCTGTCCCCTCAGGCGGACCTGATCCACCTGGGCGCCAAGTTCGCGCCCTGTATGCGCCGGGACGCGCGGCTGGACAGGGAGATTCGAGCTGAGCGCAGTCGAGAGCGGCACACTGCCTGCTGTATCCGTAACGACCGCAGCGGCTGCGTGCAGGCCCCTCGGACCGGCTGCAGCGTGAGTGGACCGGGGGACCGGGGACCAGAGTCGGCCAGTGCACCGCACCCAGAGAGATTTGACGGTGGAATGAACCTCTTCATGTGTTCGGTCTTATTCGGTTGAACGAAAAATGTTTGAATCTGAGCAAAATAAAAAGTTCGACTATCTTGATTATTTGCTCGGCAATTCAATGTTATTTGAATCAATAAAATTGTATTCCTCATCATTGAATGCATATAATCAAGAACTGATGTTGCTAGAGGCATATAGGAAAGCTCTCCAGTGTTTTTCTTGGAAAGTGCTTGCTTTTCTTTCTTATTGTCAATTATTCGTCGAGAAGAAGTTTTTGCCCCCCAAAATTAGTGTTGTCAGTCTTTGAGAACCTGTTGCATATTCACTTAATGTCGAATGTCGTGCCAATAATATTTTTTTTCTAATATCACGGCCATGCCTATTTTACTTCAATAACCTATCAGTTATTTACAACGTTCATAGTTACAACTATTTTCTCGCACAGCCTTGGTAGAAATTGCACCGGCTGATCGTACGAATGCTTCTAATTTGCTGGCTTTTGTTATACATTTTATTTGACTGATCAGTGTTAATTTCTGCGTATATTTGTTTTTGATATTCATTTCTATGCGAAATGTTACGGAGCATGTTTTGCGACATTGTATCTGATTTAGTGTTAACCCGCGCCCTGCTGGGGGGGGTGTTTGAACACCCCCCCCCCCTGTGGTTTTTCGCGAATATCTCAAAAACGGCGGCGCCGAGCGCCGCCGTTTTTGGTACACCTTATCATACATCAATTCTACACATGTTGTGAAACTTTCAGACCAAGGTCATTCAAGGTCAGGTCACCAGGTCACTCGAAGTGACCTCACCTCATAAAAAGTTTCAATGTCTGTCATAGCTACACCGAGTGACCGATCGCTTTGAAACTTTCAGCGATTGCTAAGAGCATTAGCATGTACAAAATGTATATCTAAGAATTTTGATATCGATGACCTAAGGTCAGGTCAATTTTGCGACCTCACCATTATAAGTCAATGGGAGAAAATTGAAATGCGCCTGTTTTGAACGAAAGACATTATAAACACTCCCAAACACTGAATTACAAGTGGTTTAGACACACTGAACATGAAAATGGTGTCTGCGACCCCTGTTTATGCCCTGAGGTCATCTTAGGTCACGAATGGTATCTAACAGTTTTTCGCAAATAACTTTTGATAGAGGCATGCTAGAGCGATGAAAACGCCTTAGATGTGTTCAGCTCGACGATACGGATCGACTGATATGCAACATGACCCTTTCCGGTCAGGTCATGACCTTGACCTGAGGTCAAATTTTCAAGTTGACCTTTCAAGGTCAAATTATAGTTCGTTCGATGCGTCTTGACGAGAGGAACACGATGCCGGTAAAAGTAAGCTCGTACAATGCTTGGGTCAAAAGTTATTGCAGAAAAACTGTTTCCGAAAAAATCGGCTATTTTTGCAGTTTTTGCCCCCTGCAGGCAAAACCGTTGACGTTAGGTCAAATCTAAGCAAATTACTCAGAAAGGGCGTTAATAGGGCTATCGAATGCGCTTTTCCGCGGCGCTGTAGCTCTATTGGTTCCCGAGTTATGCGTTGGCTTCTTGGAAATTTTCGACATTCGACCTGGAAATCGGCGAAAATTTGCCTTCAATGACCTCTGGTGACCTGACCTTTGACCTGACCAAAAAATTGACCGAAGTGATTTCCTCATTATTTTTGACGCTCTTTCGAACGCCGCCTTCCGCGTATCGCTACGTGGCCCAGGAGCCGAGTTAGAAGGGGGGTGTTCAAACACCCCCCCCCCCCCCAGCAGGGCGTGGAAATCCAGGACCCCCAGCCGGGCGCGGGTTAATATGATAGTCAATAATACTAAGTGACATTTCTTTGGCGTTTTACAAGAAGGGTAGCGTTTAAATATTCGTTTCCAATCTATCTGGCTTAGAATAAAACAGTCGAAATGGAAAACATCCAAGCCTTTTTTTTGCTGTTAAATATTCATTCACAGATTCTTGAGACTTCATTTTTTCGGTGAAGCGTACAATGACCGTGTCAATTAAATGGTAGAGTTATTTCTACAATGCTATGGAAATTGTTTTCTGCATCTAAATATATATATATATATATATATGCTATGCAATTAGGAAGATCTATGCAGATGGAAAATTTTAGCTATAGACATTTTGAGCAAAAGCTGGGAAAAAATGTTTCAGTAATTGTAAGTAATTGTAGAACAAATTTTACAGCTAAGATAAAAAAGCAAAGACGTTTGCTTGGTAACCGTGCGTATGCAATGAATTTAGCAGGTTCTTGGTGTTCAATGTTACATTATATTTAGTTCCTAACAAATTGAGTTTTATGTTTTACTTAATACCTAATTTACCACATTTTTTAAAGAAACGACAGGCAATCGTTAGTCACCATCAGCCAGGCAGGCAGTAACTGTTGTCAACCCGACATTCAGCTCCTACCCACTGATTCCAATCCGTGCATTCGCTTACTAATCTGGGTGGGTTTATAATGCGACGGTGCTGCTGTGCTTTTTATTGATCACTTTTTTTAATATTCTTGGGCAGCAGCAGACGGCGAGAATGAGAAACCCGGTACGTGCTGCTGCTGCATGGCAGCGCTGTAATCTGGCAGCTCCACTGAGACATTTCTGCCTGATGTCTCAATGACTTGCGCTTTTCGCCTGATTTCCTGTTCTCGCATCGTGGAATGCCCCGACATTCTGCCTGCTCTGGATGGTGTCAGACTGTGGTAGCTCGGATGTAACATTGTGCTGTTGTTAATGTTTTTTTCTAAGTTTTTTTTGGTCACGTATTAGTGTAAAAATGACGCAACATGTGTGTCGTGAATTTACACGCCACAGTACCTATCAGTTTTGTCATCATGGTTAGCTTTGGATCGAACGGTTTCTTTTTAAGACATTTTTTGTGAAAAAAAAATGTCTTTTAAGTTAAGAATACGGAACAAAACACTTCATCAACTATTCATTTTTTATTACTAAAATCTGCAATTATAACACGATGCTTGAAACATAAACGGGTGTATGATGAATAGTAGGTACCATCAAATTTAAATGGAATCGTTCTTTTGATCATTGCATGTTGTATCTCTTTTTTTCTTTTTCCTTTTGATTTTCTTTTGCTTTGTTTTATGCATCACCAGGCCATGTAGAATCTCATATGTATGCAGAAATGAGGAACTAAAAGAATCTTACGATTCGAAAGGTTCGATTTTTAATTTTATCGCAGCATTTTTGATTTGGTATTCTGATGAAGAGCTGCGCTCAAAATTCAATAAGGAGGCGTTGGGCTTAGACTTGGTTAGGCGTCTAGAAAGCTAAAATAAAATCTATAGGTAAGCTAAATCTATAACCTAAAACGTTATAAATGTGATCCTCACCGTAGCACTAAGAAACATGAAAATGAGAAATAGCCCTATATGGTCTGACACCTAATAAACTCCAGAAATGTTACGTTTCGGCGATTAGCAAGGCGGTGGTCGCAATGGGAAATACAATTGCTACCAACATTTCAATTGAGGTCGAATAAACTGTCTTGAATTGACACAGCAAAATAATTGTTGACAATAAAACAGTTAACCCTCAAGGTCAGGGGCCATAAATTGTGAAGCATTGCTTTGACTTTTCTTTAGTGGTACCTATCGGTAAAATATTTCAATATTTTTACTGCAATTTCCGTGATTTGTATTCAAGAGCAAAAGATGCTTGTCGCACTCTTTGTAAGTGTGTATCCCTCAACAACATACAAGGTACCTGCAGTTCGCATGCCTTTATTATTGTACACTGCGTATCGCTGTTTGTTGCTCTTGCATTGCATATCTTTTACATCATCGCATGTTCGCACCAATCAGTCAGTGTGGATACAGTAACTCAATGCAGAATGGTGACAAGAGCCCCACCTCTCCCATTGTTTCGTGCAACCTAGCTCCTGTGGTTTATTTAAAAATGTCACTTTTTTCAAAAGTGCACAAAAAAAACGTGAGATGAAAAAAGATGTTTGTCACTGCGCCGTTTTGGAAAAGATAGCGAGTAATCCAGAATTGGAGGATCAAAAGCATGCGATAGCATGCTTTTGCATCCGGAAATTCCCATTGGTGGGTCGCTGAAAAAAAGTTCGGCTGAACCTGTTTGTCAGTGAGTGAGTGAGTATGTGAGTTTGTCCAAGCTTTTTTGGACCTGGAGTCAAAATGGGTGGACCGATCGGGACGAAAGTGGGACCGTTTGATTCGTCTCCGGCGAGGTAAACTTTTGGTGCTGGCCTCGGTTCGCTCGGTGCTTCGTGGCACATGCTATTCCGCTTCAAAGTTTCGGTGACACGAAATTTTTTGTCAAGGCTACAGGTCAACCCGAGGTCACGGGCAAAGCCATACTGGCGGGACACATCGGTAACACCTTGAACCAGTTTCCAGGGGGGTCACCGTCTGCGAGGGGTGCAGGCTGCACGTGCTGGGGTCGTAAAACCGTTTTGACGTGAGGTCCTCTGGCTCAAAGAAATTTTAAGCTATCAACCTCAAAATCGGTTCAATGGTAGTCCCAGGCAAGGCCTCCAAAATAATGCACATTTGGTTGAGCTAAACTCTGTGGTGCATGAGCTATGCACGTGCAAGCCGATTGCACCCTTCGTACGTTGCCACGCCTGCAGGGTAAACGGCAGCTCTAACTGGTTCAAAACTTGCAGGTCATAAGAAGAATACATTTGATCACGACATTCCGGCGAGATACTATCCGAGGGGTGCAAGCTGCGCGTGCGGGGGGCGGATAACGGTTTTGACGAGGGATCCTCTGATCCCGGGAAACGTCGATCTAGCGACACAAAAGTCGGTACACTGATAGAACTAGACACACGCTACATGATGTCATGAAAATGACTGCACTGGGGTGCCTGGGGCATGAACTATGCACGTGCAGTTAATTCATATCTTACTGTAGGTAGATATCCACACCAATCTCGCGTGCTTTCAAGCATTTTTGGGATGTTTCGGTTGGTTTCAGGTTCAGTCCAAGCTCAGTCTGGGTTTCGGTGGATTTGCCCGGTGTGTGCCCTCAGTACCGTTCCTCCAATTCTGGCCCAAGGCAACGCAAGAGCGCTGCCGGCATCTAGTAATGAGTACGTGTTGCATTCGATCTGAAATATGCACATGTTTGCGATATACGAGTACCTATGCACATTGCACGTGATGGATGCCATATTCAATGTTCATCCCTTGTCCTCACTTAACTTTTGGGATAAGTATTGCTCCGAGTAGAAATAAACGTAATGCTAAATGTGAGACGGAAACGATCCCTACCAGGCTACTCGATTTGCCATTGTGTGCTTTATATGAAGTTGAACGTATTTTGATCAAATAGTCTAATAAACAGCGGTTCCCGCTTCCCTTCCATCGACATACGATTGTGCCATAAAGCCTGACGTAACCATGCTCAGTGAAACTCAACCTTTTGACCCCATTTGTCATTTGCTGACCTTTGCTGACCTCTGTTGATCTTTCAGAGCACCATCAGTACGTGGCACACGTGGTCGTCCGGTCGTGGCTCGGCGCCCGAGGGCCGGATCTCTGGACCAGTCTGTGGACAGGACCCTCAGTGAGTATACTGGTCGGGGACAACCTCCCAAGTCCTAACCTCAGTATCATATTGTGAAGTCGACACATGTATCATTATCGCTCCGAAAACATGCCGGTTTCCTTAACAATTCGTCACGTCCTGATGTTAGAACTCGGCGCCGTCAGAGCTTTGTTGATCAACATTTCTTGATAACCTCAAACATGGTGCGGTAACGTGTTTGCAGCCCCAAAACGTGTGCCCTGTTGTTATTTTAACTGTGCAACATTGTTGACCCGGATCAACAAAGCTCCAGACTGGTTGTGTGGCTGGTCGTGACTATTTTTCGGGTAAAATAGCCAGCTTTAGTAAAGGTTGTGAGTTTTAGCTCTGACATTGTCTTTATCATTTGAAGGAGGCGTTATTCCGCGTGACAGTACTCTCCGCTCTGCTGCTATGTGAGAAGCCTGTAGGTACTACCGTGTGCTGACAGATATTTCTCTGTCTCCGACAGTTACTGTGCCGAGCCGGCCAGCCGGGCGCCCCACGAGTGGCCAGATGACATCACCCAGTGGCCCATCTGCAAACGGCCCTCCCCCGCGCCCGGTACGGCTAACGAGTGTTGGTCTATTTTTGAGAATCATGTATGAGAGAATAAGTAGATGTTGAGAAAGTCGAACGCTGACTGGCACCCCGGTGCCGCGGTGCGCTACAGCGATTGAATCAATATTGTGGGGAAGGGACCGGTCTCAAAGCCGTTCGAATGCTCACTCGAAGGGACATGCTGTACTGGAACAATTGTTGATTTCCCCCGGTCGCCGGAAAAGGCAAAGCCTCCATCTGGCCATAACTCCCCCGGTCGCCAACAGTGGAGGACAGTCTGTCCGTTTATTCCTCTAACTACTCCGCCGGTTTCCCATAGAGGACAGTTTCCGTAGCGCCTCCTCTGACTGCTAGCTCCTCCGTTCGCCGACAGAGGGCAGTCTGTCTGGCTCGCCCTTCTGACCACTAACTCCCCCGTTGGCCGACAGAGGGCAGTCTGTCTGGCTCGCCCCTCTGACTGCTAACTCCCCCGGTCGCCGACAGAGGAGTCTGTCTCGCCCCTCTGACCACTAACTCCCCCGTTCGCCGACAGAGGGCAGTCTGTCTGCGGAGCACATGACCTGCGAGGTGGTGGGCCACCCGTGCTGTGTGGGCATCCACGGCCACTGTGAGATCGCCACCCGCGAGTACTGCAACTTCGTCAACGGCTTCTTCCACGAGGAGGCTGCGCTCTGCTCGCAGGTACGACTAGGGGCTCGCTGTCATGGATGTTGGAGAGAGAAAAACGAGATATTTATTCCCGCCAACCTCGGAGTCGGATCGAACAAGTCCCCCGTCCGTCGTTTCCATCCTTAGGACATTTAAATCCTTCTCCTCCACGCATCAACCCTCAGTCCGGGCTGGACAGGCTACTTTATCTCATGCGGGCTGCTCCCTTGGAGCGGCACTGCTGCTCCCAGGGGCTCCCCTGTGAGTACTTGGGGGCTGAGTACCCCAAGTACTCAGCCCCTCAGTGAGTACTTGGGGGGCTGGTCGGCCTGTCCTGTGGGACAGGCTCAGCTCTGGCGACTCTTTAGGGTGTCTGCCCAGACCAATGCCTCCCCCTAATTCTTATCATACTTCCGGCTCTGAAATGGTCTAGTTAGACCGGAAAGGTCTAACCCAACAAAACAAACAAACAAAATCGAACAAGTGAGCTTCTCTACCCCCAATGCAGAGCTCAAATCACGAGATTCGCCCACATCTTTTACCGATAACTGGCAAGAGTGTTTATGAGTACCTATTCCTTTCCACCCTGCACAAAGTCGACAGTTATTGCTTGTCCCGGTAGACTGATGACAACCAGTGAAATTGTTTCTTATTCTCCTCTTCCAGTACCGTGTTTGAATTGTGTACTGTGCCTATCCGTGTCCGTTCAACACGTATTTCTCCATTTCCGCAGGTCTCGTGTCTGGACGACGTCTGCGGGATGATCCCGTTCTATGATCCGGAGAAACCCGATCAGTTCTATCGGCTCTGGACGTCGCTGTTTCTTCACGCCGGGTAAGGAGCACAAATTCACACATGACAACGCCGTCTTCGATAGCTTTCAGCAAGCCAAAGTAACTTCTTTGCATATGAATGTGGTTTACTTTGCCGCTTTGAAAATGATGATTGACCAATGATCGTGCATGATGTAAGTCACTTTCCTTCTGTGCAGGGAACGATGATAAATTTACGGTGCATAAGGAACAGACATGGGGTCACCTTCGAAGTATGGCTGTAAACGGCTAAATTTGCTAAATACTGTTAGCAATTATTTTTATGAAGCCGTCGAGACGCCATCCGAACATGTGTCGCTGACCTCTGATGCCTCGTCTCCGGCAGGATCATCCACCTGGTTCTGACGGTGGTGATTCAGTTTTTCTTCCTGCGTGACCTGGAGAAGATGGCTGGCGCCTCGCGAGTGGCCGTCATCTACATAGTCTCCGGCATGGCCGGCAACCTGGCCTCCTCCATCTTCGTGCCCTACAGAGCCGAGGTGAGCCAATGACCTGTCCTCAGGAGTGGGGGTGACCTGACCTGAGTCGGCAACCTGGCCTTCTCCATCTTCGTACCCCACAGGGCCGAGCGAAGTAAAGAGTCAGCAAACTGACCTCAGGGGAGTGTGCGACCCGGCCTAAGACATTAACCTGACCTCCGTCTTCGAGCGCTACAGGGCATAGGCTGGTAGTCAGTTTACTGTACAGGCATTCTTGTGTGGTCCTTCGGAATATAACTAGTATTTTGATACAATGAGCCTGGCATGCACTGACGGCCTGTCTCTGTTCCTCAGGTGGGTCCTGCCGGCTCGCAGTTCGGCCTGCTCGCCTGTCACTTTGTCGAGGTGATAAACGTGTGGCCGATGCTGCAGCGGCCGTGGCGCGCCCTGTGCCGCCTGCTCGGACTCACCGTCGTCCTGTTCGCCGTCGGACTCCTGCCCTGGGTGGGTAGTACACTTTGGTTTAGGGCGACGGCACTTAGGACGTCGGTGCAATAAATGACTGAACTTAAAATTTTGAGGAGTTTGTTTTGTAATTTTATACAAGTAGTATGTTGTATGTCATGTAGTAGTAAGCTTCTCACAGAATTCACTATTTGAATGTAGTTGACCTGAATTTGATCATTTCTTAGAGAAGTGCATGATGAAAACGCATTTCAGCTGTTATTGCGCTTATGTAAAATATAATTTTACTGACACTATCACAAAATCAAGGGAAGTAGGCATACCTGTAGCGTCGCAATCAAACCTGTCAAAATGTATTTTATGCGAGCGTTGACGATGTTCTGTCTCTCTGCGCGCAGGTGGACAACTACGCGCACATATTCGGCTTTATCGTCGGCTTTCTGCTGTCGTACGCGCTGCTGCCGTACGTGTCGTTTGGTCCGTACGACCGGGCGCGCAAGAAGGTGCTGATCGCCGTGTGCGTGACCACCGTGACGCTGCTGGTGCTGTTCCTGCTGGTGCTGTTCTACGTGACGCCCTTCTATGACTGCGAGTGGTGCGAGTACCTCAACTGCCTGCCGCTGACCCGGGACTTCTGCGCCGAGCAGAACATCAACTTTGACCGCCGGCCGAGGCTATGATTGGCCGCGAGAGATGGAGAGAGAGAGAGAGAGAGAGAGAGAGAGAGAGAGAGAGAGAGAGAGAGAGAGAGAGAGAGAGAGAGAGAGAGAGAGAGAGAGAGAGGGAGAGGGAGAGGGAATGATCTGAGCAGGACTCGGCGCGACTCTGAGGGCGTCAGTGTGTGGCGGGCAGATCTGAGGCTATATGTGTGGTGCAATTTTTGATTGCAGGACACTGCAACGGCTGTACGCTGGTGATTTAACGTTGCACGAAAGGTGAACGTTGGGTGTTGGCTGTGGTCATCGCTTTGTTTTGTCCTGACTGTTATTTATATGTTGATTCTTGCCAAATGAGGTAAATCTATCAGCTTATTTATTGGGTATGTTAGGCCTGACATGCCTACCTAATACGATTGTGCATGCTGTCCTTGAATGCGTCGCTCGTTTGTGTGAAGGTCTTGGATCGAAGGATTGATTCAAAGCCCAATATTGCAGAGCTGTATATCACAACAGGCATACCTACATACCAGGGGTGATGTAGTTCATACCTGCGTACCTTTGCGTACCTTTGGGAAGGTGTCATGTATAATGTTTTGAAGTGATCCTGCCTTGACGGAACATGTAATGTTCGTTCAGGTGGTACATCTGATCAGTTTCAATAAGGGGGCCGTGTTGAAAGATCTTTAAATACGCTGTGCCTCGCACTCAACCTCAGACTTGAAGTAGTCAGAAGGATAGCCGTCTTTCGTTGATTGATCTGGGAGTTGTATGTAAATGACATATTTTTGTCGCATCTGACTTGTTGAATGTTTGCGTGCACGGTACTGCTTGTGGATCCCATGCTAGTTAATTGCTTTGATCTGTCCTGTTGAACAGTTGATTAGGGCTGTCGTTGTCGTTATAATTTATTACCCGTGTTCTACTTACAAACCGTTTTTATTTATCAACAGGATGACTGGTTTGTAATTCTACTTTCGTTTTATCCAAAGATCTGTCACATTTCAGTACAAATTATATATAAGTGAAGCAGCGATAATTACCTAATAATGGCAACAACATGGCACGCTGCGCAGTCTGCACATTCCAAGTGTATATGTACTGACGTAAACTGTTAAATATTATAACTGATGTTAAGCGCTATGTTATGAATATATCATCATACGTCATGAATCACTTGTTTTCATCAGCAATTGTAATTGTTCCTTTCTCGGCAGATAACGCTCCACACAAATAATTACACAAACGAAGCTCCTTATCACGAGCGTATCCAGCCGGGTCTGAAGAGAAGAGGGGCGGGTAGCGAGTGAGGAAACAAATACCAAAAAAGAGCGCCCATTTGTTTCCATGCACCGTCTATAGCCTGTACTCCGGGTACCACCGTACCTACTGTAAAAGTACCACTGAAGTCTGAACCCATCATTCTCAAGTGACCGCCGCGCCGGTAGGCCCGGCTTGTGCCCGGCCAAAGTTGCCAGTCATCCCCGTCCTCCGACCGGTGGCATCAGCTGATTGCCGAGAGTGACGTCAGCCGGCCGACGCTCCGTACGCCAGCCCTGTTACGTCAGACGGAGCGCCCGAGCCGCCGACGACGACCATTCGGGAGGGCCTCTCGTGCACCGGGCCATTTCTGACGTAACAATGGCGAGTGGCGGTGTATTAAATGCGCCCGGCCGGGTGCACGCACTCATTCAGTTGTGGAGACGCGACCGAGCAGCAGTACTCAGTAGTGAGTGAGATTGGGTGATTTCCTCTGAGACCGTCATGACTTCCGATCGCGACCATCCCGGCTACGGTCCGTGGATGCCGCGGTGGGGCGGTGACCCCACTGACCAGCGACAGCAGGCGCCTGGCCCACGGTGGGGCGCCGAGGGGGACGACCCCCGCCACCGCGGGCCCTGGGGGCGGCACCAGCACTGGCATGGCGAGCGACAGGACCGGCAGGACCGGCAGGACCGCTGGGACCGGCAGGACCGCTGGGACCGGCAGGGAGACCGCTGGGACCGGCAGGGACCGTGGTCCCACCGCCGGAGCCGGGACGCCCCGGACGGAGCCGGAGCGGAGCAGCCGTGGGAGCAGCGGGAGCAGCAGTGGTCCGGCCGGCACGGCTGCGGAGGTCGCTGGCGGCACGGGGAGCGTCAGGAGACCGGCCACGGACCCTCCTGGGCCGGGGTGGCCCTCACAGGAGCCGGGGTGTTCGGACTCTATAAACTGTTCCAGGGACGGAGGCAGCACTAGAGGGCCGACCCGAGGGGAGGGGCTCACAGCGACGGAGGGGGGGGGCCTCAGGAGAGGAGAGGTGACGGCTCTCACAGACGAGCTTTCATCGTGAAGGTTGTATCCTGAGGGGAGGCGGGGCATCTATGAGGGAAGGGCTATCTCTGAGAGGGGCGATGTTCGCCCGAAAGGGACATGTGAATGACGTCATGGTGCCGCCGGCGGACAGGAGGTGGCTGCATTTCATTGGCGCTATGTATGCAGCGTGTTGTGTTTACTGAGAACCTGGAAGAGGGAAATGTGACACGCGGATGATCGTACAATTACCTGTAACGTTTAGCCTCCAACCGCCTTGTCAGTGATACATTCACCTGGTGTGGGGCGGAGTAGAAGAGCCATCCACGATCGCTTTTATAAACTCTGATGGAATATATTGATTCATAAATTTGACGCTATCAGCGTCTGTTAGTATGGTACCTGGTAATGATACCTTGTACCTTGTATACCTTGTAGAAATGGTAAATACAAGTTTTCCACAAAATATATTATTTATTTGAGCTTTGAAACAGTAAAGGTACGCTTTCAACTTCTTAAATCGAAACGAACGGGGAAAGATAGAGACATGAAGTGTAACCCGTCTCAATAAATACATTTGTCTATTACTAATTAACATGACGTGGAACAATTTGTTTCTTTAACCGTCCCACTTCCTAATCAGTGAATATATGCCCTTGCTATACCATAAACATATTCCTTTTCAACCAGTCACCAATCAAATACCTAGGTACTGTAGGTATATAAGTAGTAAGTACGTACATCGTGGTCCAGAGTTACCTTGACGAAGGAGAATGACTGAGCGAGCCGAGTTCCGAATCGACCGCGTTAGGCTGGCCTCCGAGGCTCCGAGAGTGACATTCAGAGAATGCTGGCCGCTGGGGGCCACTGGCATCTATCAGCTTGTGTAGCTGAATCAAAATAAAATAGGTATAGGATAAAAAGTAATTACAATAACTCCTAAATCAGGTGATGAACGCCGAGCGGTGGGTGGCACATCTGACATCACACACGAGATGTGAGAGGAAAATACCATCCGCGGGATCGCGCGGACGGACTGACCGATTCGGGATCCGGCGAGACGACCTCCAGCCGCAGGAGATGCCGACAGAATGCTGCAGATGCCGCAGATCAGGGTGCAGATGCTGATCTTCAGCCTCCTCCGGAAACACCGGCCACACCAAAAATCACTGAATGGTAAAACTGGACACGCTGCCCGCAACGCAGCACCTGCAGGCTGCAGCTTTCTCACTTGACAATCATAAACACTTCACAACAGTCCGCAGCGCACAATCACGAAATCACAAATCACTGGCACTGTTCGCCATCCCACACACCCCGTCCCCAGCAAACAACTGGTGCGAAATTTCCCGCCCGAAAGGCTAGTTTTGCGACTCGCCGCTAGGGGGAATCCAAGTCTGTTAACATAAAGCTGAAATGTGCATTGTATCAATGTATAATGTATGACCATACTAGCTTCATGTTTTTTTATAATACAAGCAAACAGACTGAAAGATAAACAACAGCGTAGCTAATCGTAGCAAAATAAGAATAGTTCCAGGACAAAATAAAAACAAACCTAGGCGCTTATCTTGACGTAGGCGAGCACGCGCGCGGCTGGCGGAAAAAGCCAAAGGTTAGTTGCGACAGGTGCCCCCTCCCCTTTGAGGTGGCGAGTCGGCGACCTGGGGAGGGGGCACCCGGCTTTGATCAACATGAGAATTGAGAGGGGCGTTAGAATCTGAGACAGGGGAGTCGGGGACCGTCGTGAAACCATCTACAAAATAATGCATAGGTACAATTATAGGTACGCCGTTGAAATAACTCAAATGGAGTGGGTTAGTAGTTTGGCTAGCACTCAGTTGTTTGGTAAATAATTAGGTATTTAGGTATGTAGGCATATGTAGTTGCAGCTTGCAACCATTATCTTGCACAATGGTCACACAGCAAAGCTCAAAACTAGCGTAGTTTTGTGAGCTGCATATTTGTATGACAAATTACCTACAGGGGATTTGAGTTGTTGAGAGAAGGATGCTTATTGCTTAACCCGCGCCCCGTAGGGGGGGGGCCGAAACGGCCCCTCCCTGTCCTTTTCGGTCGATATCTCCTAAACGGCTGGAGATATCGCCACCAAACTTTCAGGACCCCTCCGGGCATCAATTTTACACATTGTGACAAAAAAATTTTCCAGAGGCTATGATAGGTTGGCCACAAATGACGTCAGAGTGACGTCATGTTCTGTCATTTTCGACCGAAAAAAGACCTTCGCGAGAAGACCTGTCAGGACTACAGCTTTGAAGATACAGAAAAATGATCAAGACATAAAAGGTGTAGAATTAACAGGGCTACAAAACTGCTATCCTGAATTTTTGAATTTTTTGAGTTTTGACCCCCAAAAATCAAAAAAAACATTTTTTTGGATATATTCGCCAAAAAATCCAAAAAGTTTTTTGAGTTTCGAAAAAACCGGAATATATGTGATAGTGCCTACCGTCTTCTATCTACATACCAAATTTCAGATCGATACCTCGTTTTTTGGCCAAGTTATAGCGAAAAAACTGTTCAAAAATGATGACGTCAAATTTTCAAACTCAATTTTTGGCAATTCTAGAACTCGTAGAGCAAAACGAAGACCACCATTAGACTCCCCGTGACGAGCTGCATCGAATCGATACCCATTTTATGCAGAAATATCAACTTTGAAATTTGACCTAATTTGACCTGACCTTGACCTGACCTTCACAAAAACGTGACCTAGGCTGGCCCCAAAGGCTGCCTAACCCACATAATCGCATTTGTCATGTAAAATGGACCATAAAACATGTATCACACGACACATTCATATTGTGACCCCCGGTGACCTGACCTCGCTGTGACCTGACCTGGTATCAGTGACCTCAGATAGCAAAGTATGTGTTTGACGAACAATGTACCATCGATGGTTTTCAATAAATTACCAATTTACTCGCTTTCACAGCACATTTCTTGAATTGCCTGTGAACGGTGAAAATCTGACCTTTGACCTGACCTGTGACGTCATCGGTTTGACCTAGGTCAATGAAATTTGGTCACAAGGTAGTTCCCGGGTGGGGCTATCGAACGCCGTTTGAATTTTGAAAATCGGCCGGTAACTTTCCGAGATCTTAGGGGGGGGCCGAAACGGCCCCCCCCCCCTACGGGTGGTAGGGTCCGCCGGTAGCCCTACGGGGCGCGGGTTAAGCCCTAGCCCCTAAGGATGGAAGTTGGAACCGATGGATCGGAGATTGGTGTGTCCTGACTGACTGACTGACCGATGGACGGACGGACGAAGGGACTGACTGACGGACCAGCTGACGGACGGACAGACGGACGGACGGACGGACGGACGGACTGTAAGGTGGACTGACTGACGCTATACCGCGGCTCCGACTTGGCTATAAAGGTCCTCTATAAGAGCTGGCTTATCACCTATTTGCCATGCATAGTGCATAAATACCAGCATCTGCGATGCTGGGCTCCGCATCGCGGGACCGCAGGTTGTTTGAGCAAGCACCTCTGTAACGCCGCAAAAACGCCCGTAGTGCATAAATACAGCCATGACATTTAGCAGTCATGCAATCAATTCAATTCTGTCTCAACGTTGCAGGCCCTTAATTAATTAAACAGGCCCTTAACCCTCGCCAGTCCAGGGACTTTTTCATAACGCGGACGGCCAGGGGGGAGTTGGTACGATCCCTGGCGATTGGCCCCTATGGCACTTAGAAACGCAAAATTTACAGGGTAGGTGGGCCCATAAAAGGTCTCACCCCTGTGCAAATTTGGTTGCTTTAGAATTTAGATCAATGTTTAGGGGGGTTGTTTAGGGGGGTATAAATGTAAAAATTTCGCTCAAACAGCTTAAATGTTATTCGCT